AAAGCAATAATTTTCAACTTCGCGTGTTGATGATTATTATTATGCTATTTGGTAGAAAATGTGGGAAAATTCGGATATTTTACTAAAGTATTTGGTATTTTCAACAATACAAAATGTATAGTTAATAGTTGATAACCTTTCTTTTAAGTTGGGCAGTGGTAGCTAACTGATGGTTTCCCTGTGGTTAGAGAATCGAGCTGAGAATTTCGATCCTCGACTCTGTTAAGTATATTTTTATATTTTATTACCATCGTTGAACAGCCGATCCAGTTTTATGGGTTTAAGATTGCTAATGTTCAACTCCGTAGCCTTCTAATTTTGAACCCAATCCAGAAGACAAGGGAACTCCTGGATCGAGTATTGGGAGAAATTTGCCTTCGCGGAGAACTTTTTGATGGAACTAACTCCACATTTGCGTTACGTGGAGAGGAAGATCACGAGAACCTACCATGGTTAGCCTGACGGCAAGGGGACTCTAACCCATGATCCGTCTACCACTGAAAATATTTCACGTCAGCACTGTGGTCGGTGCGAGCCTTACGCGGAATTCATATTGACTGGGACTCGAACCCGGTTCGCCTTGAACCCGGTTACTCTGATCTTTCACGGCTCTTCCGTTAAGTATATTTTATTTTATAACCGTCGTTGAACAGCCGACCCAATTTCATGGGTTTACGACTACTTACGTTCAACTCCATAGCCTTGTAATTTTGAACCAATCCAGAAGACAAGGAAACTCCTGGATCAGTACCCCCAGAAGTATTAATTTGTTGTGGGAACATGGAGGACTTTGAGACTCGACAGATTTAACGCGCCTCAGTCACCATTTACTACACGGGGAGTCTTCGGCCGGCGAGGATCGAACCCACGACATCTTGGATATGGGCCCGTTAAGTATATGTAATAGTCGGGTACATAGGTATATCGAGTACATGCAATATACGTGCTCGTAAAATCTGTGGAATTGAAATTCTTGTTCTCAGTCGCTGAGCAATACCATGGGTACAAGGATCTGGAGAAAATTTCCATCCAAGGAAGTGATCTCACAAATCGTGCCGTTAATAATAACGGCTGGTGTTCGTAAGGGATGTTTCTCAGACCGTCGCCAATAGCCCAGTGTGCAGCTCAAATGCAACGTAAATAAAATACTTACCAACCAACCTTATTTACGAAACGCTTGTTAACGTTATTTTTGATCTGCTAGTTATATTCATTTGAACGTAAGATATAAATTAACTTGGACTAACAGTCAGCTTGGCTAGAGTTTACAAGTCATACTACGTAATGAGCACGCAATCTTGCATATGTATGTATAATAATAAATAATTTTTCGGAAGAGAAATGTTTATTTATTTATTACTAGCCGCCATAGGCGGCCAGCTGTCCGCCACGCTAAAGGTAATAACACAAATAAAGTTTTTTAAAACATAGCAGGAAATCTGAAGATTAGTGGACAATTAAAGTGTTCCTGTCCTGCAATTTTGTCTTCATATCCAGTTCTGCTGCAGATGTGTTATAGCTCTTGAGGATGTTTGAAGATGTAACTTTGCTATGGTAACCTAAGGCGTATGGTAACCTAACCTATAATATAACTATCAGGTGGAGACTTGTATTTTTTCTTTTTTTTAAAAAAGGCCTCAGAAATTGTAAAAACATACAAAAGTTGCTTTCGAAATCATCATTGGCCAATAGCTGTAAACCTCTTCTAATCTTCTTTGACGTTTCTCTGATACTTCTTGGGCTCTAGAATTGCTTGTCGAAATTCGGTCACGTTCCATCTTTTTTTGACGTTCCACAGACGTTTCTTGGGCCCTTCTTCTTCTATGAGAACCTCTTAATATCTTTTTCATCTTAAATTTATGAAAACATTCTCAAAAAAGGAACCAAATGTAGAATAAAAAGTTTATGTGAGGTAAATTATTCATCTGCAGTAAATATGTTTCAAAAGAAGTGCATTTCATTGATTGTTGTGAAAACTGTAAAAAAAATAGAAAACAAATTGAGTTAGGGATATATATATTCAGCTTCATTAAGTGAATATGAGACTTTTAGAGTGTTATTTTTATTATCTACAATCTTATAAAATTTGAATCTGTACAGCGAAAACATAATTATAGTAAAAAAAATTATTTTGTTTCGTTTAATCAAATATTTTTGTTATCTAAATAAAACATATTATAATATCGTGGAATTTATTATGGTTTTTCTGTGAGGGACATAAGCAAGATGATTACCTTCATAAAAAAATCCATATAATACCATATTACTTCTTAATGGTTGCATCAAGATAAACAATCACGCCATGTTAGGAATTGAAACAACATGATGTTGGACCAATATGAGCAAAACCAACTTGGTTTGATGGTCCAATCCATGATGAATATCTTATTGGTTTCCAACTTAACCAAAACCCATCATACCACCAAAATCAGATTATACCACAAAGACTAATCATCTTCCTATATTAGGCACATGGTTTGGAGTTTTATTTTTGTTTTGTTGATCGTCCAACAGAAACAATGCATCATTACCCATATATATTTTATTGGTTTCTTCTTAGTTTTATAGGTTTTTATTGGTTAATTTTATGCCATCAGCTGAGAAAAAAACTATTTCGTTTCTCAAATAAAAAGAAAGATTTTGAAAATAATTTAATACTTTATAAAATAAAAATAGACTAAAGTTTGTATGATAATATATTTTGTAATAAAATTTATATGATAAATAATACAATTTGCATGGTAAGTATTATGATAAAAATTCGATGAAATAGTTTAACACTGTTAAGTATATGTACCTTATATGAACACACACAAATTTTTGTTCCATAATGGTAAACAGATTCACATTTGTGTTGTAATTTGCACGTAATCATTTGAAGACTTTAAACATTTCTTGGAAACCACACCAGGGGGATGACTATTCAAGGTAGTTAAAAGAATACAATGTCTTTGGAAATTGATTCAAGAAAGAAGCGAAAATCTGTTATTTTATTTATTTATTTTGGAGGGCGTATTATATTACTGTAAAGGTTGGTATTATTTTATATCATCTTATACCTTATAAATGAGGTTCGCGAATATTCAATTTTACCATGATTAAAGTCATATTGACAAAATGAACTTCAAAAGCATATGTCATCACTTGGACACGAGTGCTCTAGTTTTTGATTACTAGGACAAAAACTAAAATAAATTATTTCACCACAATCCTGAGAAACTATATGGTATTATTACAATATATATATTTTTATATTTGAATTAAAAAATTCAAAAACGGTTAAGTTGCCAATTATTTTAAAACATTATTTCATCCCTCTAAAAATTTTTTTCATTGTTATTTTATCGACAATACAATAGTAGTAGAAAAGATAATATCGTGCCGATCTCCGTTAGAAGTTTCAAAAACTTATTGTTTTCCGTGACAATCAACGATTTAATGTTCCTATTTGTTTCTTGTCATAATACATTTCTATGTTCAAAATACTCAGCAAGAAATAGCGCAAATTAAATACTATGCTTTGCCAGAAACATTAAAGTATCATGTTATAAGAAAATTTATCAACATGTTGTGTTAAATACCTTTATAACCTCCTAATATCTTAATATACCTAATATCTTTCTAATACAATTAGCATTACTTGATACCTCTTAATTAATTAACATGCTTTAAATATTTTATAGTTAGCATAAGGATAACACTCCTGCAACCATAACATTTAATATATGCTTTTTCTATCTTAATCAAAAATAAATTTAGTGGACAAAAAATAGTATTTAAATATGATAAATATTAAAAAAAGCTATTAAAATGAGAAAATATTTCTACAAAATAAAGTGGAAAAATAAAGCATTGAAAGCAGCATGATTTTCAATTGAAACATAAATTTGTTTTAATAATCAATTGAAATTTTGGTTGGTTCAAATGATTTTTTTTTCTTTTTTGCAATCCACAATGTGTGATTTTGTGTACTTTAATTTTGAAAAGAAATGTGTGATTTTGTGTACTTTAATTTGAACGTATTATGGAACATCCTAGATCTATGTTTATTAAAAAATTGAATTTAATGCACAAAAAAAAAGATCTCAAAGCACCGAAGAAATCAGCTATAAGTATTCATATTTTTTCGCCTCACCATTTTCTAACAATCAATCAACTGATTATAGCACTATACTACAGTCTTTTTCTTCATATTTATATTGAACGCGTTTCTTTTTCCTAAATATATTTCAACCCAAATTAAATTCAGAAACGTATTAAAGCAGAAAATACCGAGAAAGAATAAAAATTTAAAGCAAGCAATAGGATTATTGTGAATAGATTATATCGTTCCAACTATTAATCTCCATATATCATACATATCTGTTGTCCACTTCGTTCCATGCAGCTGGGTACATATTATACCCTAGAGGTCTAATCTGTTAGTCTCACGACCGACAGAACAGGGGTTCGTATCCAAACATTGACACTGCAATATTTTTTCTATTCACTTCAGCCCATGAAAAGTTTCCAGTGTCCTGCACTCTGCAAGGCCCATTACATAACGAAAAGTCTAACTCCAATGTCCCGTTGAAGTATTCTAGTTGTAAATGGTCAAAGAACTGTTTAGTTTCGTATTCATGGTTTTAAAACCATACTAGTTATAAATGGTCTCAAAACCGCAAAGGTAAAAATTATTAATTTCTGTAAACTTTAGTGTTAATTATATGGACAGACTGTGCCGGTTATTTTACCATATATTTAGAATGAAAATTATAACAGTGTACATATTTGTTATTTTACCTTTAAATTTATGTATTTGCTTATGGTGACAAAATTCATCTGCCACTGAATTATTGTTATAACCTGCTTTTATTGTATATTTAACTTACTAAATAATCAATAAAACTTACTTACCGTACATAATCGTAAACGATAATTAATTATTATATTTATAATAAACGACGATAGTAATTTTTATAATAAATATAAAAATAACGCAGAGAGTGGAACAACAGATATTTTTGAAAATTATTTAATTTCCATAAAACTTTACATTTGGATTTGAAAATTGTTTCATAAGCTTCAAACTTTTTTCATAGTCATGGAACCCTTCACCCTAAAATAGATGAAAAAAATATATCATTAGAGTAATTTATATTTCTATCACAATTTTCGCATTTTAATGAACAAAATAGTATTCTACATTATTATTGTAGTTAATTAAAATATTCAAAATTGGAATTTATGCAGTACTTATGAAATCCCATTCGATTACTAAATAACGTTTAAGTATTTTTAACGTCTGTATGCTTCATATAAGTTGGTGTTATGCTCAAAATCACACACATGGTTCACATTTTTAGATTAGTAGAAATTCATTCAATTCAGTAGAAATTCATTCATTGTTCACAATTGCACATTGTTCAAGTGAGACTGGATTTAATTTTTACTTCTTACATGTTCGCACTTTGAGATCCAGGCATTTCGAGGTATTTTTCAGATTGGAAAGAAATATATAATACTAATTTGGATAAAAAAAAGTTTCGAACAACATATGTTAATATTAAAAAAAATATACTAATCAGCCCATAGGCGCTTTTAGTGGACAGTAAAGCAAATTAATATTCACCATAGTTAAATTTTTTTTTATGTGAATTAAAAAATTTTTGCACACAGTTATAAAATACGTTTGCTCAAAGAAAATTCCATGCAAAATATATTATTTAAGAACTCTTTATTATTTTTTAGTATTTTATTTAATAACTGTCGAAGAAAAAACTGAATTACAAGATATAAAATTTTTGCCACATTTCAAAAATTGTAATTTTATATGGCAGAATGTAAAATTTGAGTAAAATTGGTCAAATAGTTCCCGAGATATCGAAGTTTCAAAAAAAGTCAAAATATCGAAATTTCAATAAAAGTCAGATGTTTAAATTTCAATTTCTCAGGAGCTATTTTACCGATTTCCCTCATACTTTGCATTTTGCCATGTAAAATTACATTTTTTTAAATAATGTAAAATTTTCATAACTTAGAATTAAAATTTTTTGACCGTTACTGAATGAAAGATTGAAAAATAATAAATAATTATTAAAATCATTTTTTGCGTGGAATTATCTTCACATAAACAAATTCAATAACTGTATGCAAAAGTTTTCAATTCGCTTAAAAAGTTCAAAAATACACAAAGAGTAAAATTAACATAAAATTATCCAAATTTTGTACCGAAGTATTGGGACCATATTTTCCTGTTTGAGGCTATTGATTTTTACTTTTGATCAAAAAGTAAAATTAATTTAATTGAGTAGTAAATATAACTTAGTAAAAGAAAATTCATTGAGTAAAAGTAAAATTAAGCAAAAAGTGCAAAACTAATATTAAAGTGTCTGAACTTCCGACTGCTTTCCTAGTACAACTATTTAAACCATATTTTACAGATTGCGATTATATTTTGAGGATCAAGGAACAGAATCCGTCGATAAAAAGGTATGCTTATAAAGAGAAAAAACGTGTTTTCGTCTGACTTCGCAAATTAGTTTATCATCTGCAGTAATTAATTAGCATATTTGAGGTTTATATTGTACGCACAACGTGTTCAGTGCATCTAGCATTCGCTATTGTCCAACCTCTCACCAATAAAAATTTGGAGCATTTTATTATTTTTACTATATTTTCATTTGAAGCATAATGATATACAGTTAGAGAATTATAATTTTAAGTTTAAAATAGATGTCAAAAAATAATTATTATTACTAATATTTGGTAAGAAAAAACATTTAATATATTAAAGAGTTTGGAAATTGAAATGAGAGTTCCACGAGTAAGAATAACCATATTATCCTATGTTTAAATGTATCTGTGACGATTAAATGTAATATTTCTTTAATTTTTGATAACTTCTGCCATTTTACATATTTGCTTCTAGCAAGTATTTTTAATTCTTTTAAACTATGAGTTTAGCGAGTTTTACTTAGATATTTTATTTCTTTCAAAATATTACGTGCTTTTATTCTTTTAAACACTTTGTAATGAAACATAAACTAATTTTTTTCCATGCAATGTTGAAGCAATGAAAATTCATCTTTCTTATTATTTTATGTAGACTCAACGTAGAGAGAAGAAAAATATCTCAAAATGATTAAAAAAATATATATTAGCAATCCGTAAGAAAAAAAGCCAAAACGCCATGCCAATCGGTGAGTCTGTTCAGAAGATATTAAGTGAAGCTTAATCTGCAACTATGGGTTTCAACAATGAAATTTCGTATTGTTGATATTGCTTTTAAGCTACACGAAGTCGAAGAGGGTTGACCCAGGAAAATTTGCAAACTGCAGAAAGAAAAACAAAAACAAGATGCAACAATGCTCTCCCGTTCTCGAGTTATTAGCGAACATGCAAACATAGAGGCATATAGAGAGAGATGAGCTCAAATACTGTTTATAACTTATTTTTACAATCCATGTGTCCATAACCTACTTATTAAAATGTACCGACGCCCATCATTGACAGAACCTCCAGTAACAACGCGTTTATATTTAAAAAGATTCCCTACCTAACATTTAAGGGATAATAAATTGAAATTTACAACAATGGATACAAATACAACTTAAATCTAATTTATGCAAACTGTATCAGTCAAACTGCAATTTATCAAACAGTATAACAGTAGAATGATAAAACTTTATAAAAAGAGTAAACTACGGATAGTTAAAACATTATCCCTCTAAGAATGGCTCTAAAAGTTTTAAATAAGTGTTGAGCATACTGCTATTTCATGAACGACGCAATCTTCCAAGAAAACTAGTCTTTATTATTTTAATTCCCATGCACACCGCCACTAAGACGTTTTGATCATCTGGTTCTTCTCTAGGGTTAAATAAGTTTTTAAGCCACCGTGGTGATAATTTCATTCATCCAAAACGACATTGATGATTGACTAAATATGGCGTTGCCTTTTCATATTCATTCTTCGATCATTTCCAAACTTGCTAATATCTTCTCAAGTACAAGCAATAATGCAGCGTAACTTGTTTTTAGGTAAGCTATGGCATATATTCCTAAAAGCATATGACATGCATAGCTATTACATAGCTATTTTTCCCTACTCAATACAAAAAAGGAAAAAAAAGCTAATTTTGTGCAAGGCATAAACAACACCGCCTATGTGCTGATTTACATTCCTCATTTTCCATAGAGAAATGCTTATTTTTTATGAAAAAAAAAAGTGGGATGCAAATCAGAGTCTTCAACATTATTTTTTTTTCTGTCGCGTCTATGACATAGCCGAATCAAATGTTTCCAACATTACAGTGTTGGAAACATTTAATGCAACATTAAAATGTTACAACATTATTAAATGGCGAATAAAAAGTGTTTTTGAAATTTTCCTATAGTATAAAAATGCTTTTTTTTACCTTAATAGTTGTTGAACACTTGTTGTTACTGATCATCCACTTTCAGTCCCGTTTCTGAGAGCTTTCAAAGCTTCTTCAGCCATTCGCCTTTCCTCTATGGCCATTAGCCGAAGATACTCAACTATAATAAANATATATATATATATATATATATATATATATATATATATATATATATATATATATATATATATATATATATATATATATATGCTAGGGGGTTAAGCCCCCTGTTCGCTACCCCTCACCAAACCCGATGACTGCTTCGCAATAATTGCTTTATCTTGGCAGAAAACAGTTTTCTACTAAAGTTAAAATTATTCACTTAACATATATGTACTAAAAAGAATTCTGTTTCCTTACGCTTGTGCCTCTACTTCCCTCGTCCAAATATTACCGTATAAAATATTAATGGAATTCTTTCATGAGGTCAAAGCTCTCACCAATTCTATTCCTTCAGATGATATGTTTTATTACAACTTCAATACTTCAACTTTATAATTCTCGAAATAACATTCGAATAATATTCTTTTTCATTTTATTGTAATCCCTGTATAGTTTTCTAAACTCTTTTGTAATTTAAAGGTTATAAGCAAAATAGATTTTGGGCAACAAAACAAAATGCAAGACCTTAATTGTGTAAATAAATTAAATAACAGTGAAGGCGTCGCTTATGTTTTTTTAATATGGAAAGGAAATTACTTTTATCACCATCATCAATTGTTGTCGAACTCGTGCCGTAAAAATTTGAATACTATACTCGTTTACAGAATATCTTTAACATGGTTTTTCGAAACTCTTTCGCCAAGGAGAATGAAAAAAAGCCACAGTTTAAATGCCTTACATTTGAAACAAAGCTATAATTTAGAACTATTTTTATAAACCTATTCTACATATACTATATATATCTTGTCATGAAGAATTGTCTACATTTTAGAGCGAACAAATAACTTAAATATTTTAAAAGTTATTAAACTTCCAAAAAAAATGCTTTTAGGCGACATCCTTCCATCTGAGTGACAGTTATCAATATTATTGACATATTCTCCTTTTATTGTAATTTAGTATGAGTCAAGATTATACAGTATTATAAGATTTAAAATATTTAAAAATTGGACCACAAACGCTTTCCATTTCACAATAGATTTCTCCATGTATACGTTTTGCGTCATTTTCAGAATAAGCTTAAAAAGTGCTGGATGTAAGTAGGCCTAATAGTCGATTTATTGAAAACACACAGCAGTTGTGAAAATAGGTTATTATTCATAAAAAATTCTCGTTTAATATGACCAGCCTTCGAAAAGCAACCTTAAATATTTTGCTTATAAACATCATTTTGTAAGAAGTACGAAGGTAATTAACATTCGTAAGTTTTTTTACGCATTTAAAAAACTAACAATATTTGCAAAAAACAATAAATACACTTACAAATTTGATCTAATGCCATAGCGGTTTGTCTTAACGCTAAAATCAAAAAAGATAATGAATTAAGAAAAATTTCTTATAAAACATGACAAATTCCGTGTTATATGAAATTGATAGGAATAATAAAGCTCATTTTAAAAATCTAGGTTTTTATATCTTTTCTAATTAGCAAATTATAATTTTAACCATTTAATTTAAATGTTAGCCGACTGGTTGTTGGAGGAAGCGGTCAAGCAGTTGGCGTCCAACCAGGAAGATCCCGGGTTCGAATCGATCTTAAGACATGGGTTTAACTTGTCTTTCTGTTCTGCCTTTCTTTTGTTAAGGTGACATTGATCCAGCTCTACGGCACTCACGATAAAATGGTTAACATTTGATTTTTTTTGTATTAAAATAAAATAACGAAGTGATATTTATGTGCAGTAAACTTTCTAATATTATATTTTTACTTTATGCTGACCTGGTGGCCGAGTGGCTAGCGTGCCTGACTGCGGAGCCGCTGGTCGCGGGTTCGAATCCTGCTCAGGGCATGGATGTTTCTTTCTCTCACTGTTCTATGTCATCTCTCCTTTGTGTGTGATTGTGCGAATATGACCCGCTCTATAAATAGGTTTGTGGTTGTGTGACGTCGGCGACGCTGCTCCATCGCCGTGGCTTCGTCACGGGTGCCCACTTTGTAACGAGAAGCAGTTCCTGCATTTCTGTGGACAAGGGGACAATCCTCAAGTAACCGCCATTAAGAAAAGAAAATTACTTTCAATTTATTTCATATATTGCCTTATGTTAAGTTTTAGACCCATGGTATGTGTTTCGTTTATGACTTATAACTACAATTTTGTAAGAAATACAAAGTTTGTTAATTCTATATACAAATTTTAACCCTTTTAAAACATTAAATACTTGTAGATATCGATAAATATACTTACGTTGTGCTTGTCTTACCGATCTGGCTAAAATCGCATAAAAAAGAAAGAATAATATTAAAAAACAATTTATTATTAGACACGGCATATTCTGCACAATTTGTACTTGATTGGAATAATAAAACTCGTTTAAGAATTAATATCTCTTGAAATAACCAAGAACTTATTTAAAATATTTTATTCAAATTAAAAACTAAAGTTATCTAACTTTAATAACGTTGATTACTGTTAATGCGTGAAACATTAAAAATAAAAATTTTTCTTTGACCAAAAATTAGAAACTGATATGAAGCTTAAACTTATAACTTGAAAATATAGCTTTTTCTTTCAGTTGATGATTTACAAGAAAGCTATACAAATTTAGAACAAAATTATTTTTCTCTTATCCATTGATCAGTGTTGAGCTTTTAAATTTTTTTATGTATGATGAAACGTTTCAGCAAAATGTCTTTTGTTCCAAAAAGAAATAGAATAAAAGAATAATTTTATTACATTTATGTAGACTGCAGCGTTCTAGTTTTAACCTGAACTGTACACAACAAAATATACGGGGAAAAATCATAAAATTGACTGGAAATATGCTTATTATACATTAAATTATTTTTAACCGAGTTATCTATTTGGAAGTAATGGAATAAATATGTCAACGCAAAACATCTTGATACTGAAGGAAATTTTGTTCCATTAGTTAATTTTATATTAATTGCACTGGACTTTAAATTAATAATTATGTTTTATATATAAGGTAAACAGAAGTATTAATATTATGAATAAATTTAGCGACGCATTATGTGGTGCCACCAAATTAACGAAAAATGATTCTTCGAGTTTCTTTGATTGATATTTATTCTAATGAAACGTGTTTCTACATGCCTAATAATTAAAAGTCAATGAGTGTCAATATAATGAAATTGAAATTATGTAAAATGGGTCAATTTCTTGTAAAAATTGTGATCATGGTGAAGTTTGTCTGTCATGATGATATAAAGCTTCACTTACTTCAAATATAAAGATAGTAATAGAAGCCGATATGTTCCAATGGATATGCACTCTTTTTAAAGTCTCGCCAACGTGAATATTTTTTGAAGCAAATGAAGTTTTATGTTACCATATTTTTTACTCTTCAGTTTTAAGGGATTGTCCATTTAATCGACTATCATAGTTGGAAAAGCACTATTGCGTTTGTGTTTTTGTGTCGGTTATGGTTTGACGTCTCTGTCTAGAATCTCGCAATGCTTGGAATTGGCATAACACTCTGATTACTTTATCTGCGCTTTTTTTAAATGCATGAAATAAGATATCACTGACGAACATTTTACTTAATATCGCGTTTCCTTTACGCAAAAATTAAAATATAGATTACTCTTAATACGTTAAATTATTCATTTCTACTTACATAAAATCTCCTCTTTAGCATCTCCATGAGTGACTGAAAAATAAATCTTTTCATAACAAAAAACCCTTAAACTTTATTCTATTCAAAAACATTAAAATTTAAAAAATATATTAAAACATAAATTTCTGCTTTTCTTTGTAAAATATTTTTTATATGGATGTATGAAATAAAATGAGGTGTTAAGTTTTAGCTATTTTTCAATTCTTAAATTATTTTATTTACAATTTTAAGCATAATTTTTTAAACACGTAGAAAAAATCATTATTATAAGATTCATGCATTTACTTAAAGAATTAGAATTTTTTTTTGTATGTATCGCGGTAATATAATTCAATTGGATCAGTGGTCTCAGTGGTTCTTGATTGGATCAATTGTCTCAGTGGTTCTTGGTTGGATCTGTGGTTTTTGAAAACAAATTATTTTCAGTTTAGTTTAAAACATGCATAACAAAATAAAAATGAATGTATTTCTATTTACTAATCACAATATCGATTAACTCACTAAGTAAAACAGGTTTCTCATGCTCCTCTTTAATTGGATCCGTGGTTTCAAAATGTGCATTCTTAATTATTGAATATTTTATTTTGGTTTAGTTTAATAGTTTAATTTATATGTATTATACTCTGTTGCAAGCTAAGAAAAATCCATTATCCCCATAGGGAGAGCTGTTTGCTTTTGCACCCCGAATAGATGGTAAGTAATCGGCCCGAACATCGCTCCAATATTGCTAACACTTGAAACATAATTGTACAGAATATTTCTTACTTGCTTTCGTAAATCGTGTGAATTGAGAAAAACAAAACTTAATCTATAATAAATTAACAAGTAATACGGATTAATGAAAATCATATCTAAAATCTAACAAATATACGCCTTATATACGGCGTAACAAATATATGCCTTTCTATTGGCATTTAAACAAAAAAAACTAATGAAAGAATAATAGTGCTTCTTGCAAATGAATTTGATTTTAAGTAATTGATTTTAAGTAATCCTATACCGCAAAGGTCTTTTTTTCAAGAAAGTACCTAAAATTTTAGATTTCGTGCAAGAAAAAGTGACAATTATTATTCTTACATATTCTGCTAATTATAAGAAGTCCATTCATTTGGCCGGATATGGTAGAAATAGTGTAGAGTGTTTAATCAATACAAGAAAGGAATACAAGAAAGGAGTTATCAGATATTGATTGTGTGATCAGGAGAGGAACTGATTCTTATATCAGATTTAAATTTTTTTAGCTGTGCTAAGATCACGATCTTACATTGCCAAAGAGATTGTTTTCAGCTGCAAAAATAAGGTTTTTATATGAAATAGATATCACGATTGGATGAAAAAAATAATTAACATTCAATTCTAAAATGGAATTTTTAACGATAAACTGAGAAGAAATGTATGATAAAAACTATGAGAATACGAGAAATTTTTCATGCTTTCTGACTCTATAATAATATTAAAAAAAGCAATAATTTTCAACTTCGCGTGTTGATGATTATTATTATGCTATTTGGTAGAAAATGTGGGAAAATTCGGATATTTTACTAAAGTATTTGGTATTTTCAACAATACAAAATGTATAGTTAATAGTTGATAACCTTTCTTTTAAGTTGGGCAGTGGTAGCTAACTGATGGTTTCCCTGTGGTTAGAGAATCGAGCTGAGAATTTCGATCCTCGACTCTGTTAAGTATATTTTTATATTTTATTACCATCGTTGAACAGCCGATCCAGTTTTATGGGTTTAAGATTGCTAATGTTCAACTCCGTAGCCTTCTAATTTTGAACCCAATCCAGAAGACAAGGGAACTCCTGGATCGAGTATTGGGAGAAATTTGCCTTCGCGGAGAACTTTTTGATGGAACTAACTCCACATTTGCGTTACGTGGAGAGGAAGATCACGAGAACCTACCATGGTTAGCCTGACGGCAAGGGGACTCTAACCCATGATCCGTCTACCACTGAAAATATTTCACGTCAGCACTGTGGTCGGTGCGAGCCTTACGCGGAATTCATATTGACTGGGACTCGAACCCGGTTCGCCTTGAACCCGGTTACTCTGATCTTTCACGGCTCTTCCGTTAAGTATATTTTATTTTATAACCGTCGTTGAACAGCCGACCCAATTTCATGGGTTTACGACTACTTACGTTCAACTCCATAGCCTTGTAATTTTGAACCAATCCAGAAGACAAGGAAACTCCTGGATCAGTACCCCCAGAAGTATTAATTTGTTGTGGGAACATGGAGGACTTTGAGACTCGACAGATTTAACGCGCATCAGTCACCATTTACTACACGGGGAGTCTTCGGCCGGCGAGGATCGAACCCACGACATCTTGGATATGGGCCCGTTAAGTATATGTAATAGTCGGGTACATAGGTATATCGAGTACATGCAATATACGTGCTCGTAAAATCTGTGGAATTGAAATTCTTGTTCTCAGTCGCTGAACATACCATGGGTACAAGGATCTGGAGAAAATTTCCATCCAAGGAAGTGATCTCACAAATCGTGCCGTTAATAATAACGACTGGTGTTCGTAAGGGATGTTTCTCAGACCATCGCCAATAGCCCAGTGTGCAGCTCAAATGCAACGTAAATGAAATACTTACCAACCAACCTTATTTACTAAACGCTTGTTAACGATATTTTTGATCTGCTAGTTATATTCATTTGAACGTAAGATATAAATTAACTTGGACTAACAGTCAGCTTGGTAAGAGTTTAAAAGTCATACTACGTAATGAGCACGCAATCTTGCATATGTATGTATAATAATAAATAATTTTATTGAAAGAGAATTGTTTATGTTTTTATTATTTTCGTTTCGTTTTACAGGAGCTTTCCTGTCTTGCCATCCTACCAAGTACTTTATGGAGTGGAGGGTGGAATCGAATCCCCCAGTAACTTGGGTGTGTGATACTAAAATAAATTTGTTTTGGACGCGTATACTAGTTAGCGTGCTTATTACAAAAAATTGCTTACGGGGCCGGGATAGCTTGGTTGGCAAGGCACTGGTCACATATGCAAGAGGTTGTGGATTCGATTCCCCAAAAGCCTAAGACTCACCGTGTAGTAATTGGTGATTAATGCAAGTTAAATCTGTCGAGTCGCGAAGTCCTCCATGTTCCCATAACAAATTAATATCTCTGGGGGTACTGATTCAGGAGTTTCCTTGTCTTCTGGATTAGTTCAAAGTTATAAGGCGACGGAGTTGAACATTAGTAGTCGTAAACCTAAAATTGGATCTGCTGTTCAACGACGGATGTAAACAAAAATAATTGCTTGTGAGTCGTGGTGGCTCAGGGGATAGAGCATTCGCCTTCCAATGAGGTGAAATAGCGTCGAATCCCGACAATGGCTGGTTGATTCGAGTTCGGCAAACGGCTCGCACCGACCTTAATGCTGTCGTAAAATATCTTAAGTGGTAGACAAATGATGGGATAGAGTCCCCTTGTCGTCAGGCTAGCTGTGGGAGGTTCTCGTGATTTTCCTCTCTATGTAAAGCAATTGCAGGTTAGTTCCATCATAAAGTTCTTCACGGAGGCAAATTTCTCCTAATATTTGATCCTTGTCCTCCGGATTGAGTTCAATATTACGAGGCTACAGAGTTGAACAATGGGGCAGTAAACTCAAAATTACTAAGATACGGAGTTGAACATCGGTAGCCGTAAACTCAAAATTGGATTGGCTATTCAACGACGGTTATAAATTAAAATAATTGCTTGCCACTTGTCACAGAATTTTCATCTCAAATTTATGAAAACATTCTCAAAAAAGGAACCAATTGTAGGTTAGAAAGCTTATGTTAGGTAAATTATGCATCTGCAGTAAATATGTTTCAAAAGAAGAGCGTTCCATTGATTGTTGTGAAAAATGTATAAAATAGAAAACAAATTTATTAAGGGGCATATATATTCAGCTTCATTAAGTGAATATGAGTCTTTTAGCGTGTTATTCTTATTATCTACACTCTTATAAAATTTGAAAATTGAATAATCTGTACAGCGAAAACATAATTATAGTTAAAAAAGTCATTTTGTTTTGTTTAATCAAATATTTTTATTATCTAAATAAAACGTATTATAATATCGTAGAATTTATTATGGTTTTTCTGTGAGGGACATAAGCAAGATGATTGCCTTAATAAAAAAATCCATATAATACCATATTACTTCTTAATGGCAGCATCAAGATAAACTATCACGCCATGTTAGAAATTGAAACAATATCATGTTGGACCAATATGCGCAAAACCAACATGGTTTGATGGTCTAATCCATGATGAATATCTTATTGTCTTCCAACTTAACCAAAAATCAGCTTATTTTTTCGATTATACCTCCAAGGCTTATTATCACCCTATATTAGGAACATGGTTTGGTGTTTTAGTTTTGTTTTGTTGATCATCGAACAAAAATATTCCAATATATTTTATTGGTTTCCTCCTGGTTTTGTTGGTTTTATTGGTTGATTTTATGTCATCAGTGTGAGGAGAAACTATTTCTTTACTCAAATAAAAAGAAAGATTTTGAAATTAATTTAATACTTTATAAAATAAAAATAGACTAAAATTTGATAAGTATTATGATAAAAATTCGATGAAATAATTTAACACAGTTATGCATATGAACCTTATATGGACACACAAAAATTTTTGTTCCATAATGGTATACAGATTCACATTTGTGCTCTAAATTGCTTGCAATCACTTGAAGACTTCAAACATTTCTTGGAAATCACATCAAGTTAAAATCTATAATTTCATTTAATTATTATGGAGGGCAAATTATAATACTGCAAAGGTTGATATTATTTAATATCTTCTTATACCTTATAAATGAGGTTCGGAGAACATTCAATTTTACCATGATTAAAGTCATATTGACAAAATGTACTAAAAAAGCATATGTCCTCACTTGGACACGAGTGCTCTAATTTTTGATTACTAGGACAAAAACTAAAATACATTATTTCACCACAATCCTGAGAAACTATATGGGATTATTACATTATATATATTTTTATAACTGAATTAAAAAATTCGAAGACGGTAAAGTCGCCAATTATTGTAAAACATTATTTCTTCTTCTAAAAATTTATTTTCATTCTTATTTTACCGACAATACAATAGTAGTGGAGAAGGTAATATCGTGCCGATTTCCGTTAGAAGTTTCAAAAACTTATTGTTTTCCGTGACAATCAACAATTTTATGTTCCTACTTATTTCTTGTCATAATACATTTCTATTTTAAAAATACTCAGCAAGAAATAGCGCAAATTAAATACTATGCTTTGGCAGAAACATTAAAGTGTCATGGTATAAGAAAATTTATCAGCATGTTGTTAAATACCTTTATAATCTCCTAATATCTTAATATACCTAATATCTTTCTAATACAATTAACATTTCTTTATACCTTTTAAGTAATTAACATGTTCTAAATACTCTATAGTAAGCATAAGGATAACACTCCTGTAACCATGACATTTAATATAAGCTTTTTGTATCCTAATCAAAAATAAATTTAGTGCACAAAAAATATTTAAATAAGATAAATTTTAAGGAAAAATTTTCTTCGAAATAAAGTGGAAAAATGAAGCATTGAAAACAGCACGATTTTCAATTGAAACATAAATTTGTTTTAATAATCAATTGAAATTTTGGTTGGTTTTAATGATTTTTTTTTCTTTTTTGCAATTCACAATGTGTGATTTTGTTTACTTTAATTTTGAAAAGAAATCTATAGAATACATTTAGAGAACGTATTATGGAACATCCTAGATCTATGTTTATTAAAAAATTGAATTTAATGCACAAAAAATAAGATCTCAAAGAACAGAAGAAATCAGCTATAAGTATTCATATTTTTTCGCCTCACCATATATGCATTTTCTGACACAGGGGCATACGCAAGGGGGGGGGGTTAGGGGTTTAACCCCCCTTGCCTTTTTTACTTTTTTTAAGACTATATATTTTTATTTGCCTTATGCCTACTTTTTTTTTCTCACGGTATTTCTCAGAATACTGATAAAACATTTACAATAATAGGGTTGTATTTTTGAAACCAAATTCACGTGATACTGTTACGGGCGAGCCC